ATATATATATATACAGACACTACAAAACAAAAACGGTGATAGAGACAACAACAAGATCTTGATACAGAATTCTCAAGATACATCAGACTTGAAACCGTAGTAAATCTTGATCAAGATCTTGATCAAGAAGAAAAAATGGTTTTTATCGTTTTGTTTAATTTTATTTTTACATAAACAGTGGATGAAACCTGAGCAACTCGCAAAATCTAATTTTGGCTTACTAAGGTTCACGAATTTTGATTCTTTCATGTGTCTATGAGTTATTGACGACTGAGTTAAGTTACATTTGCAACTGTGTGATTTTTTACAATAGGTTTTATCCGGAAAAGGTTACCTACGGCGACGGGTAAAACGGTACGGGTAGTACCGCTAGAACGGTAGCGGTAGTACCGTTACTGGCTTTACCGCTACCGTTGCATGCTTAGTGTGAATTATCTATGATACTCTTAAGTAAAATTTCTGTACATAGACTAACTACCCCAGAGATGTGCACGGGTACCGTTTTCCGACCAGTACCCTACAGATAAAATGTTTTTTCATCCGTACTCGAGAACTTTAAAAAAGTACCTGGTTTATGCCTAATAACTTTCTCACCTATCCGATTTATGAAGAAACCCTGGAATCTAAGTGGCTTTTTTGGAATTCTTAAGGGACTCTAGGATATGGGAGGCTACAGGGTAGAAAATCCGTATGGTAGGGCTATGGTATGAAAAGGCCTTAGCCGGCATATCTTTAGAGTGAGCGAATCTTTTGATCCGTAAATCATCTTCTGTTTTGATTCGAAAGCCAAATGAAAACAGAGGAAGAGATGTTGGTTTGATTCTTCCTAGGCTTCATTTTTATTAACGTTTAACTTGACTGATTAATCAACAAAATAGTGATGTTATTATGTCAAATTATACCCTGTTGCAATTCTAACGATATAGACTTCGGCGTAGTCTCAAAATGTTGACCTACACCAATGTTGTTGTAGGTCTCAGGGAGCTCTGGATGATTGAGTGGAAGAGCTTCTTTTCGAATTTCGACTGCTTTCTCATAGTATGAGGGTGCAGTGGAGTAATTTTCTGTCGATTTGTGCACCGTACTAATGTTGTGAAAGGTTCTAGCCAGCTCTGGATATTTGAGTAAAAGAGATTTTTGTTGGATGTCGAGTGTCCTTTGATAGTATGATAGTGCAGTTGAATACTCTCCCATCGATTGATACGCCACACCAGTGTTCCTGTAGGTGCTAGCTAGCCAGGGGTGATTGAGTGGAAGGAATTTTCGTTCAACGTCAATACCAGATAACCATAAATAATTCACTGATAAATCATAAATGTTTATTTTATTTACACAGCAGACATATCTTTGGTTAATAGTATTTCCAGCTGAGTATCATTATTAAAACGTACGTTTCTCATGCGAGAGCCTTGAGGCAATTCATATAATTCGTACAACCAAAAAAGAAAAATTCGTTTTTGTTCTTGTAGCTATACATCCTTGTTTGAATCTGGAGGCTGAAAAAATTGTCAAATTAAAAAGTTGAAGATTATAGTTCATATGAATTCCATTATTTATATAAATAATATATAAAGATTCATACGAACAAGAACATAACCATGTTGAATCACTAAAATTCAAAATTGATTTAGCATATTCAACATTCATTGATGTTAAATAACGTTTTACTTTATATAAAACGTTTTCTGTTCATATAAAAAATGCATCGAAACTAATACACCAACATGTTTTTCATTGCTGAAATTTATTTAAACTAACGTCGATTGTTGTTAGTTGACCATCTTGTATTATGTTTGAATTCGAAAAATTATTAAATATAATTAATGAAATGAATCAAGTTCAGTGGAAGTCTTTTGAAAACCAAATGGATGATTTTGATCTAATGTACGTTCTGAATATGGTGTTGTTGCTAATGTTGATGTATCAACTGTTGATAGTAATTGTTTAAAAGTTCCACTAGTCAGGTCACTATGCATTAACTGCATGATATGATGAAAAACATTTGTTGAACGAAAAGCATCGGTCAAAGCTTCTGCTTTTTGATTAGAAACGGCTCGCATCGATCGAGTGGTTTTAAAATAAAGGAAAAACTGGGGAAATCTATGAGAAAATCTGATTGTTTTTTTCAAAAGAATTACTCATACACACAGCGAATAAAACATGAATAGAACGTTATTTTAGGCGTGGAAAACTACACGTTCTAAAATACATCAGTCTTCAACTTTTTTCTCGCATGAAATAGAACACAAAAATAAAGAAAAGAAAACAGCTGTATTCGTGCGTTTTCCAAGATCTCTTCTCATTTTCTTTTAATATATATGTCAATCGTGGCTAACATATTCAGGATATATCAGAGAAATACCATATAAAAATAAATCACACTTCTTTGCTGATGACTTGGCTGCAATATTAGTTGGTCAAATTGGTGTAAAATATGCAGAACAATATTTAGATCTTGGAAAAAATTCAAACTATTCTTCGATCAGCTTGAATACTATTCTCGTCTTACCGTCTGAAACTAGCAAATCAGTTTACAATTAAATGTTTGAGAGTGCTCAAAAGATACGTAGAGAACATCGCAGTGCTGGAGAAATGTTTAAAGTGGATTTCGGTCAACTCTTCTGCTGTCTCAATTCCTTATTACGATATGAAGGAGATTTAGCTGCTCCAGAACTTACCTGAGTCGTTTTTGTGCTAATCTTCTCTGTTTTATGTATTACAAAATCTGTAAAAAGAACTCTCACTCGTACAAAACTAAAATAAAAGTTACTTTATTTATTTGTATATCATATGTCTTTCTGTTCTTAAACTATCTGTAACTCTCTTAATGTTAAAGTTCGGTGTCAGATATACCATTTTCTCTTAAATATTACTATTGTTGTATAATATTGTTATCAGTATTGTTACTATTTTTCGAAGTGCTACTTGTCGGTTTAGGACCTCCAAATATTCGCTGACGATCGATACGTTGCTCGGATGAGACATTTTCGGCGATCAGCTGCTGTTGATCCAACTCGTCTTCGGCGTTCTCATTGTGATAGCAGCAGTTGGACTTGTGACAAGCAGTGTATCTTTCATAAATTTTTGCCAAAATACAAATTAACTGATAGAGAGCTTGTAACAATTGAAGAAAGCAATATAACGAAACACTGACTCATTTAATTAAGTAATTTCGATGTTTTCTCCTCCTTTTGTTCATTTTCGCCTCCTTTTCCTCCTTTTTGAACAAAGTTGGCTAGTTTTCGAATAGCGTTTGATCAAAGAGTCTTCTTAAGGCTTTAGTTATCATATGTCACTTTTTGTATTTGCCACGAACATAGTACTGTCTGTTCTTGTAGTGATAGTTACAATGTGATCTCGATCCTTATTGTACTATAAGTATTTTTGTGGTCAATAGAAATTTCTTATCATTGCATGATGAGTCATCAGTAGTTGTCTATGGTGTGCATTTTTCCCTTTTCTAGATCTCTGTTATCGGTCTTCCTATCATCGTCTGTCGTGTCATGAATAATTCTTTTAACTTGTATTTTCGTTTTCTGTCTCCGTTCATCGCACAGTGGGCATCCAGGTGGACATGGCAAAAAATCGAAAGTGTGCTTTTTCAAGATTCAAATAGTGTCGTATATACTTTGATATACGGGCTATTAAATGGTGTAGAAATTTTTGTTCCAAGTGCTGAATTTTTGGAAAAAATGTAAAAACAAAAGAGGGCCTGAATACTAGCGATCTCTGAGAAAGTCATTTTTTTTCTAATAGACGAACTCGTTTAAAGTTTAAAATGTTTACATATTCTGGATCTAGATAGTCCTGGGTATCCATCTGTAAAAGGTGTTCCCTTCTTAAACCTACGACATAGCAGAAAATATTTTTTGCGAGGTGGCTCTGTTTTCAAACAGGCATTTCAAATCTAATTAGGTTCCTAAATTTTCCTAAAATGTTATCTCTCTCAGAATTACTGCAAAATGTTGTGCAATATGTCCTGCATCTATGGTGCATGCAACTTTGTGCAACTATTCGCCTGGACCGGGATAAGAATTTTCCAAAAAAATCCTGATTTTTGAGATAAAGTGCATTTCTCTCTTTCGGGGAACATTTTGTACAAGAAAATAATATGATATTTGAAATCAGCGTATAAAACTACATCGAAGGACGTTTAACTTGTTCATTTTCTGAATTAAAAGGTTGTTATAAGCTTTATTTGATAAATATGGTGTGGTGTATAAAAAAATGAAACACAGAACAAGAAGAAAGAGGCGAACCTGATTATTTACTAAGTGCCTAATATGCAAATCAAAATTCAATCGAGAGAATTCAACACGCATTTGATTAAAAAGCATTTCATGCTTTCGGTCAACGTGTTTGAACCGTGGCCATTTGTAATATGGGTGCAGAAAATCAAGTATCTTTGAACGAAAACGAGCCAATTTAACAGTTTGATATAATTCAACAGGTAACTCATTCCACTGCCTAACTATCCAAGGAAAGAATGTGGTTTTGAATTTTTCTGTGGGAGTATGAAAAATGTGAAGTTGACCTTTAACCCGAGAACTCAGTGTCATAGCAATAGTGGAATAATTTGGTATCCTTTGAAAAAGGAACGATGGTGTGAGCCCTCTTTTTATTTTAAATAATAATAAAATGTTATTCATGGCATTTAAAGTTTCAATAGGAGTTCATCCAAGAATTCTCAATACTTTTTCTCTTGAACTCAAAGCATAGCACCGCTAACAATTAAAGCAGCTTTATACTGTATATGATATATCGGTTTGAAATAGAGCGGTGCTGAATAACGTGCTGAATAACGCTTGTTTTTCGATGCAAATCTTTCAAGCAAGCATAAACTGTGTCCGAATGGGTTATTACTGGCATAGCATAAGATTTAAAAATTTGACGGAGAGTGGATGTACTCAAAATATGTTTGTTTCTTTGCATTAGGTAGAGAATATAGTTACACTTTTGCATATTTCTTTAACTTGTAGTGACCAGTCACGGTTTTGTTAGATACATTCTCAAATGTTTGTGATTATCAACAAACTTTAAAGTAAAAGCGCCGAGAAGCAACTGTGGCATAACTTTTTCTTTGCCAAACAGTATAGCTACGCATTTCTCGGATTTAAAGGTAATTGCCAAAAGTCAGACCACCGCTGCACTCTCATCAAGTCGGCCATGATTATGTTTGGAGCAGAAATCATGTCATTCGAGTGGTGATATAGCGAAGTATCATCTGCAAATAGTCTTATTTGAGATTGCACGTTTAAAACTATGTCATCTACAAACAGAAGGAGCATTTGAGGCTCCAGAGTGGATCCTTGGGGAACTCCCTTGTTTATTCTCAAAGCTGTAGATCTTTGTCCATTCACAAGTGTTACACACTGCCTATTCGTCAAGCAGCTTGAAAACCACTTTAATAAGGCATCTCACACTCCCTTTTTCGGTAACTTATAGAGTAATCCATGGTGCCATACTTTGTCAAATGCTTTTGAGTAGTCGAGGAAAACAGCAAGTGTGAAATTGTCGTTGTCTAAGTTTTGATTTATTTCATGCATAAATCAACTAGTTGGTTTGCTGTTGAGTCGCCCTGGACAAAGCAAGACTGAAAAGGAGTTAATAACTTATTTTTCTTGACATGTTCGTACACTTTATTGAACACTAAGCGCTCTAAAACTTTTGACATTGCCGGGAGCAGACTAATTGGTCTATAGTTAGTTGGCAAACTATGTCATTGTCTTTAAAAAGCGGATGTATGACTCCCATCTTCCACTTCTCAGGAAAAGTACCATTTGACAGAGAGAAATTACAAATGTGTGTAAAGTCATTTGCGATAACTGGACCCGCTTTCCGTAATATTCTCGAGGTAATGTCTTAACTTGTTGCTTTATTTGGATTGACTCTACTTAAGCGCTGTTCAACTTCACGCATTGATATGGTGAATAAATGTACAGTAGGCGCGTTCGAGAGCAAAGTATTAGGCGAAACTGAGTTAGCATTTTGGAAATGTCAGTCATGAAAGCAGTGGAAAAATGTATTCCATTCAAAACAGTTTGTCTGTCATCAAATGATCAGCCATGGTTTACACAGGGATTGCGTGTTTTATGTCCGAGGAAAACCCACTAATTTAGAAAGTTAAGAAACAGCACTTCTTCAACTTAGACAACGACAATTTCACACTTGCTGTTTTCCTCGACTACTCAAAAGCATTT